TTCGAAATGTCACATTTCAACATTGCAACTATTTTTCTTGAAAAAAAATCAAAAAATCACTTTTGGTGCTTTCCTAAGAAGATTTTGAAAATTTGTGAAACGTGGACACTAAGATCTGAGAAACATACAAATCTCCACTTACTTCAAGTTCGATAATAACTCTTTAAAAATATTATTTTATCTGCTTTCCCGAAGATAAAGGGAAATACTCTCGGTTATCTTGATTGAAATACGATGTCATATGAACATAACCCAGTCAAACAGATCTATACCGAGTCACCAACTTCATCTAAAAAGACATCACTGAAAAATGGGCCGAGGATTACCTCCATAAATTAAACAAATAGCCGAGTTGAAATACATTTATGACGTGCTCTGCGGCGGATGTTTCCAGGAAACTCGAGAACACTGTGCTGCACCGGCCTCGCTGCTGGAAGACCCGCCTCGCTCCTCAGCCTCCGACGAGAGGTCGACCCCCATAAAAACGTCCCGAGGCGGTCACAAGCGGGGCAGAGCGGGCGGTGGGGGAGGCGCGAGTCGATGCCCAACGTCAACAAGCAGGAGCCGGAAACCCAGCACGCACGTGTGGCTACAGCGGCAGTAAGCCGGGCCCACGTGGGAATTAAGTTTAAGCCTGTCCGGTGGAAATGGCCACGGAATGTAAGGCGGCGAAGTGGACGGACGAAAGGGATGCGTTGAAGAGACGGATGAATAGCGGGCGGTTGGAACGGGTCGGTGGGTGGGGAAGCGGACCGGGATGAAGCGGAGGCGGGAAGATGAAACGGTATGAAGGCCGGGGCAGTCAAGGGACCGGCTGGGCAGGCCGGTTGGCGTGACTCAAGTGGTAGGACCAGAAGGAAGTTGGGAGCAGTTCTCGGAGGCAATGCGAGAGGAAATCTGGAAGCGATCGCAGAGGAGCGACGAGTGAGGCCGAACGCAGCTTGCAAACGGAAACGGGTGACCCCTTAAGACGCGAGTGAGGAGACATTGGAGGAAGGGTGGGATGCGGGATTGAGGCTAAATGCGTCTTTGGAAGCGGAGTGGGTGGCGAGAATGGTGTTGCAGGCGGAATAGACGGAGTTGGAAGCGGGGTGGGTTCTAATGTGGAGTGCGTAGCATTTGGCGGGGATTGTGGCGCGGGCTGTGGAGATAAGGGTGAGGTAGGCAGGCAGAGGGTGTGTGTGTGTGTGTGGAGGGGGGCGAGGGACGCGAATGAGCTCGTAAAGATGACGCGCACCCCGAGATGGCTCTCGAGGGGATGAATGGCGTGTGGAGGAAGGGTGCGGCGCACGCGGGTTTTTGTCGCCGTTTCCACCGCTTGTCCTCGTCGCGTGACAAATCGACAGCTTCGCTCGTGACTGCCGCCACGCGCTTTCACTTGCCCCCGCTGCGGAAGAGGCGTTTTCGAATTTTTGTTCACCCCAAGGAATCGTTTTTCAAGAATTGTGAGAACACGTCGTCTTTGACAATGTTACAGCGTAGTAAACGAAAAAAGAAAATTCTTTAAGAAATTTCTTTCAAAAATAAGTCATCTACTTTTATTTCTCATGGTGATATATTTAGTACTTTTATTTTTCACGAGGGAATTTTTAATTTCAAAGAGGAGTTTCATATATTTTTCTGTTTATCTCATGTTTCTTGCTTACGAATGATCTGGTGACTTATTCTAAGGAGCACAATGTATCGTTAGAAGTATAAATTCCGCCCAACAAGTAGCAATAATAGGATAGATGCTCGTGTGTTGTTGTTCTGATGCAACCTAAAAGAAAGCAGCGTTAATGGACATGGGTGAAGAATATGCCCACATAGTTTCTATAAGAGATACAGAACATTTTTGTAAACTAAGATAAATCAAGATCTGAGCAAACTCGGTCGTAAATATGTCGTGTATTTAAGGGATTTTCTTTCTTGGACCCTGTCGGCTGTAAAGAGTAGCAGGCGATGTTTTCTGTCTCCGTGGTCAGCTAGTGATTTTTGTTCCTCCGAAGAGGACGTCCGCGTTCCGCAGGCACTAACCGCATGGATTGGTTCTAAGAGAAAGATATTGTTTTCGAACGCTTGAGACACATTAATGGGTACAAGTTTGTAAATAAGGTCAGAGTAAGAATATTTGGGGATGAAAATTCGTCTGCGACAGATTCAATTGATGGCCGTGACTATAACATTTCTGTATATTCTGTCTCTATTGCTTCGAGAAAAGATTTAGAGGTTTTATACTTTATTTGTTGTTCTTGGGTAGTTGCGTGCTGTATTTGATAAATCATCTTATGTGGTTTTGTTCAGAAGAATGTGTGCTACTGCAGACACTACTTTGGCATATTTCGGAAGTTTGTCCTACATACGGATGTCATTTTATAAATAATGCAAAGTTTGGCAACACTGACGGCTGAAGAACACGATGCTACTGATTTGTTGCGTTACTTGTAGTTCAAAGTGTGCGGAAGAAGTACGTGTCTCAGTTTCATTAATAACTTGTTTCTATGTTGAATAACAGGTCTTATAAATGGAGCATGTATAGGGTTCGAGTACTGTGAATTTTGAAGATAAAAGTTCGCACATGCAGATCGAAAATTTGCGGAGTAAAAACCCGACTGAAATTCAGAAAGCTTTTAAGGGATTGTGCGGTGAGCTTACCACAGTCTCTCTCTGGGCTAGTCGATTTCGTGAGCGTCGTATGAGGAAAAACGACGACGCAAGACCGGACGACCGAAACCATCGGCAGATGAAGGAAGTGTGAAATTCGTGGCAGATGTTATTGAAAATGATCGCCGTGCGACATTCGAAAAAATCTTCATAGCCCAAAGGAATTTCAGCAGCATCCATATTTCGAATGTTGTCAAAGGATTGATACTGAAAATGCATAAAGCTCGACCTCTGTTTTTCGATCACTCTAGGTCACTCATTCTCCATGACAACGCTCGCCCACTCGTGGTTGAAGTCGGATCAGAAAAGTTCCATGAATGTGGTTGGGACATGTTACAATATGCACCCTAAAGTCCAGACAAGAGTCCACAAGATTTTGACTAACTCCCAAAATTGGCAAAACAAACTCTGTGAGGATGTCGTTTTTATTATTTGACGAGCGTTCTGCAGCTGGTTTCCGAACCTTTCGTCTGATAAACACAGGCGTATTTGAATGAATTCTAAAGCTTCCCAGTAGTTAGGACGTTGGGGAAATGAGAAGAATGGAGACTACATTGAAAGACTGTAAAGATATTTTCTCAAAAAAATAAAGATGTAAGAAAATATAAAATATTGTGCATTATTTATCAAATGATCCTCATACATGCATTTAATGGCGGTCCTAGTTCTTCCTCCCACCCCCAGACTTCGCGCCGGCGCGCAGCGCCTTCCGGCCGCGAAGTCGCCGGCTGCGAGTCCTCAGGGCGCCCGCCGGGCGTGGGATCCGCTCCGCCAGACGGCGCTGCCATCCCCAACCTTTAGCCCCGCCGCGCCCCGCGCCCCTCGCCCCGCGACGCAGGCCCGCGTTAATCCCTGGACAAGTGCCGCATTCGATTCGAGTGGCATGGGAAAGGGCAAAGCTCAACACAGTTTTGGAGCGAATGAGTAGTATGCTTTTTTTTGTGTTTCTTCCGTTTCTAACTCAAGTTTTTCTTATGATACTTAACAGGCTGAGTTAAGCTCAGAGCCTGCACTGCCGCTGTCTCTGCAGCTACTCCGACCGGGAGGTCCTAGGGTCTAGTCCCGATGTTGGTCTCCCACACCTGTCCACGTGGTGGGAGACCAGTCGGGAGATTAGCGCTTCTTCCGGCTGGTGCCCCGTTAGGGGAGATACTCGTCCCCCGCAAGCAGACACGCTCCGAATCTCAATATTAAGCGAGGTAAAAACACCGCCACCTACGAGGTACAACATTCACTACATGAACGGGACTAGTGACCCTAGGAGTTGACATGAGCAGAAAATCAATCAGTCGTATTGGGTATTGTATTTCAATGAATTGGTGACCATTGGAAAATAAGGGACAATTTACTGTTCTGATATTCAGCACGGAGGAAATTGACCAGTCTAGTGATTGCAAAACCCTAGAAAATATACACACACAACTAAGGGAGTTCAATGATCTCTCGAATCGACAATAAAACCGTGCTATTCACCATGTGGTTTTGAGACCAAAAAAGAGAGATTTTATGCTATGGCAATGTGTTCAACGAAAGTTCGATAAGGCGAAACAGGTCGCAGTAATTATAGTGAAACGAGGTCACCAAGGAAAAGGCAATAATTGCTGCGTACTTAAAATGCGGACCGTTTACTGATAAGGTTGCGTAGAATTCTGCCTCTAAGAATGTGACGGGAACCAATTATGAAAGCAAAGAGTTGGGTGGCATGTGGAACTGCTGTATAATCCAGCTGAGAGTTCCTTATACAATGCAGGAAACAAGCTGAGGTTGTAGCATGTCATCCGATCTTCGAGAAATCCAAAACAAATACACATATTTTCCTTTCTTGGAAAGAAGACTTCGATTCCGACTGTGAAATTGTGCCGTAATTTAAAAAATGCAATCGTTTCTGTTAAAAAATGCAACAAATTACAATCTTTTTCAAACGTGTTTCAAAATAATTGTAAGTAAATGTCTTTAAGTTTTCAATCAAATTATCTTACTAAAACAATTTTTTGACAATATAATGTAAATTATATATTTATAATGCATAGAATTTGAGGAACGTTTATGGGTGAGACTCTTCCGATTTGTTAATGGAGTTAAGACTTCAGCTTATTAAACATTTCAACTATCTATAATTAAAACCACCCCTAATAGATGAGCAGCCAATTTTCAAGAAACTTTCATGCAAAATCATTGAATAATATGTTGAGTTTTATTTTGACAAATACTTCCATATTTGCTTTAATTCTGACGTTTTTCTGACACTTTCATTTCTGAACTCAGTGGCAAATCTTTGATATTTTTGTTTTACTAGATGGTTTTGAAACATTTTTTCTTACCTTCATACTTTCTTTCAGTCCCCATTTAATACATACTCGTACATATCATGTGAATGGCCTCGTAGGCGTGCTCCCAAGGGAGTGTGGCGGAGGGATCATGGCCCCTGAAAATTTCGAGAGGGGCCCCACAGTCCTAAATAATAAAACATTTTATTTCCGTGAATACGATCAATATCAAATTTCCTTCCTTTTTCAGCTAAAAATTTGAGCAAGTGATACATGAAATTTGGGGAAAGGGCTGTTTTAACCATCTATAAACTTTGTAAATGGTGCAACATAAAACGAAATGAATTTGTTAATTGAATCATTAACATTTTTCTATTCCCCTTATATTATATTTATTTACTAGTAAAATAAATAATGTTTAAATAAAAAAGTAACAGAAAAGGGAGACCAAGGAGGTCAAAGAGTCCCAGAAATGTAGTTGCTCTCCCTCATGTTTTGGGCTGTGCACGTCTACGCAATGGCCACTAGTGATCTGCCTGGGTATCTAGAATCTATCATTCTGAGCTGACGCGAAATAACGCCCATTTCAGCGCGATAATACTCGTACATCCTGTGAACCGCGAGCGATCCTCGCCTTCTGTGATTTAAAAGGTCGTCAGATACGACGATCTTAGAGCACTCCCAACGCGGACTACTTTTTTTCTTTGCAATAGTATATCTCACTCGCATTGCATATGCATTTTTGTTGACCAATGCCAGATTCTTAAAATTCTGATTTACGATTTGAACATTTAAAAAAAAATGTTTTATTATCCTTGTTCGACAAAATTATGCCTTTCAAGGGTTTTCAGGTTACATATTATACATAAACGGGTTTTTGAACTACATTTTATCGTACATGAACATTGTTCGAAAACAATAATGTTAGAAAGTAACTACTAAGGGTACCCAGGAAGAGTCCTTCAGAAAAATACATGAAATATTTGGAGTACAAAATATATTTTGAATTTATACGGTTTCAACGTGAATGCTTGTTCAGTCTCTAATTATCTTGCTTTTCTTCGACAGACTTTGCTAGTAATCATGCAAAAGAGCTAACGAAAAAAAATTCTTTGTAAGTTTTATTGATACTTTTTATCCCTTCTAATACCCGTACTGTCTTCATAAACAAGAAAAACTACGTTTTAAAAATATTTTACTTTTGAAAGTTGTTTTTATTAAAATAATTTTTATTTGTATTGAATTAACTATGCACAAATAACAACGAAAGATATAATTTTACTTCATTATTTTGCAAAGAAAAATTGAATGTTTTTAAATTACACAATTTTAACTGTGATTAAACTTCGTCGATTATATTTCCTTTTACAGTCATATTTATGATTTTTTAGTAGTTTAGGATTTGGTGCACATATGTTACCGATAATATTTCACGTTTTTCCTTGACAATGCTGTAGAAATATTTGTGGTCAATGTTGTATGTACATTGGATTGTACTAGAAGCAAGTAGGATTACACTAGATATCTAAAGCCTGGCAATACTCGCACTCAGGATCTGCGCTACGGATGCATCGAGGAGATTTTACTTGCCACCAGAGTGAGTATTTATTCATTCCGAACATATGCTTTTTGTATCCCGAAAGGTTGCGGTATTTCGTCGGTGAAACGTGAAATTCGGCGTTAAAGTATACAAGGGTTTGCTTGTTTATCTCTCCAGGTATCTCCCTCAGCGATCACCCCACATACAACTATACTGAATTTAAGCTCCCGACTGGTCTCGTGACACTGTAGTTCATACGTGTGTGTTTGTTTGTTTCTGTAAGGTCAGAGGAGGCGACCAGGATGAGGAAGGACAGTGCGGTTGGTGACCCGTTTCTTAGGGTACTCCTCCGGCGTTCGCATGACAATGATCGGAGAAACCACGGAACACCATCGACTATCGCAGCCGACCGCTAGAATTCTCCTCCAGACAGCGGCTGAATTCGACCCATCTATGCTTGGCTTTAGCGACGGCGGGGGCGAGGCAGGGCGCGTTAGCAACAGATAGCCTCCGGCTTATCACGCGGCACGGGCGTCCAATATAGACCGTGCGAGCTGTGGGGGCGGGCGGGGCTAGGTCAGGGCGACCAACTCCCTCGTGCTGCAACCGATACAGCTGCCTGACACGGAGCGGGTTGCGGCTGGAATCGGCGCAGCCCAACACCACCCCTGCCAGATAATATGCGTGGACTCCAAAGGAATGAAACGTTTTTCCTCACTGCGTTTATTTGATTTATTGACACATCTACTACTAAGGTCATTAGTCCCGTAGTTTAGTGCATGTTTTTGTCGCTGGAGGTGACGGTGATATTCCTCCGCTAGATGGCGAGATCCCACGCCAACCTACACGTCGGCTTACTGTTTTCTCTGTTCCCAACCAGGTATCTCCCACCAGCGGGCAGCGCCCCAATGTGGGATTTCATGGCGAATTGTAATCCTCGCTTGATGCAAACATTTTGGCAAACATACACGCACGAGGGAACGGTAGGCTTCTTCAAGAATAACCACTATCGCTTCAAGCATTTTTCGTGAGCGCTCCTTGATGCAGGAATGGTTGGCTTCCAGGCAAATTTAAATTTTCTTAATATCGAAACTATTGCTTTATGAAGCACATTTTATTGGTCTTCCCACTTCGTTGGGTGGAGTGTGAGATTCCTGGGTGACCAACCTCGAAAGCGCGACCGAAGCTTTCTGTCCTGCCCAAGGTAAGTTGTTGTTGTCGTCGTCTTTTTCGTGACCAAATTTTCTTAACAGATATTTTTCGTTAGCAAGCTTTACAATGGCGCGCTCAGGAAAATTAAATCCTTTAACAATTCCCGCCCTCGCCATATCTATTTGCGCACAGTCTATTAACAATCCGAAAAATCGGACAATATGATTGTGGCAGTTTGTGCTGGCGAACGTGGGATTTAAAATTTATTTGATTCATATGATCAACATTACAAAATTACCTTCCTCATTACGTATACAAGCAAACAAAACCCAAACAGTTTTATTAAATAAACCGAGTTGTACAAAATATCGAAATTGAATAAATGTATTCCATAATTCGACAATTTACTAACAAGAATTTTTCAAACTTCACATACAAAAATATTTTTAAATATCTTTTGTAGTACGGAATATGAATAAATAAATAAATGAATGAATATGTTGACTTGTATAAAATGATTACAGGCTTCTAATTCGATGAGGTTCCATTATCACTGAGAGAAAATAAAACACGATAAGCAATTCTTTATCACAAGAGTACGGCGGAGGCGTCTTCAGAGAAGCAGCCAATCGCAGCTCTCAGATACTCATTAAGTCGACAATATTGTTATCACTGGTCGTTTCCATCAAGGCGCCTGCAACTACGTCATCAAATCAACACAAAACGAACGCAATCCTGCTCGTAAATTATTCTAACAATAACAGATAACATTTACGAAATTCACGAAAATTTGCAATTAGAACATTTACGACAATTATGCAAATATTCATTTTGTGAATCTGATTGACTCGAAATTATTGATTATTTGAACACAAAAACTTAACAATTGTTCCGGATATGGACAAATACCACCAGTTGCTGATACCCTTGAAATTTTTGTCCTGAAGTTTTGGAGATACTTTTCAGAAATAATTTTTGGAACAATGTAAAATTCATGATTTTAACTGATTAATTAACCATACTGCTTAGTCTTTGAATTAAATTCGTATAATCTGAAAAATGTTTTCATGTAGATTAAAGTAGCTATCATTAGATTAAGAAACTTTAAATTGACGTATGCACGTCAGAGTTTTTAAAGACAATTTTTGTTTAAACGTTTTCTAATGTCATTTACAGTTGTTTAAATACGATTATCAGGAAATATTTAACGGAATATTTCACACTTTAAAAACGTTTGGCAAAGAATGCAATTAACTTTTCCTTCGTTAATTTTGTTAGGTTGTTCTGAATTGGAATGGATCTTTGAAACCATCATTTTTTTTTTGGAAGAAGGAAAACATCAACAAAGGAAAATGGTTTCTATGATTACAGAATGAAAAAAAGTAAGTAGTGAAAACTAAGCAACGATAGGTTGTTAATTTGAGCACTAATTATCAAATCCTTAACTTTTGTTTATACGGTTCCTTTTTCAATGTCCTTAATTTATTATTACAATACAGTCCAAAGGGCAGAAATTATCAATGAGGTGACTAGACATGGAGTGTGTGTCTATGAGAGACATCACAAGCTGGGGAAATCGAACTCGAGAGGGGGTATCCCATTCAATGCCCATCATATTGCCTCCAATTCGAGGCTTGAAAGCATGTCAGTAGGGAACGACTCCTGACCGGCGCTATAGGGTCGCTAGGGTCGCGTGATGCCAAACGGTTGGTCGCTGCCTGCGCCGCTGGGGTGGAGGAGGAGGCGGGGGCTGTGTGTCGGGGCGGTGACCGGTGGGTGGTGGTGGTGGTGGCGGAAGTGTGGATGTGAACGGTGGGGGTGGCTGGTTGCGTTAGTAAGGGTGGCGGTGTCGGCGGTTGTGGTGGTTGGTGGTGGTGGTGGTTGGAGATGGTTGGTGGTTTGGTGGTGTGGTTGGTGGTGGTGGTTGGTGGTTGTGGTGTGTTGGGTCTGGTTGGATGTAGTGCGTGAGTGCGTTGGAGGTGGTTGGAGTGGTTGGAGGTGGTTGGAGGTGTTGAGGTGATGGAGGTGCATTGGGGTGTATTGAGTCGTTGTCTCGAGTTGGTTAGGCCTGTGGAAGTGTTGGGGTGGTTGGAGGTGGTTGGCGGTGGTGATGGTAGAATGTAGAGTCAAGTGGAGTGGATTTGGATAGCGAATGGGGCGGTAGTAGGGGAGCGCGGCGGCGGCTGACGTCCGGCGCTGGCACTGACGACGCGGCGCGACCTCCGAATCCCACACGAGGGAGGAACGGGACGAGGAGCGGTGAAGAAGTGGGTGAAGGGAGAGGCTCGACCTTCGCGCCGGCGCGCCTTCTCTTGCACGCGAATTACGAGTTGTGTGGAACTGCGTAGTCCCATCGCCACGACGCACCCTTGCGTTACAGTTGCGTTGCGTTGCGTTGCGTTGCGTTGCATTGTTGCAGGCGATGCAGCCACTGGGCCGCAAGCGGGGGCGGCGTGCAATTCAAGTAAAGCACTAGGAAACAATAATAGAATGAA